CATGTCCACATAAACTCGCCAATGCAAAAAAATAAAAAATAAAAATGTGAGTGATGCTTCATTTGCCCAAAGACCGACTCATGTCTACGTCACACCTCTACTACCATCCACTCTCTCTCGGGTCATCTAAATAGCATGAATTTGCTTAAATTTAAATTTATTTCTTGAGGGGCAATACAGTTCCGTTTAGTATATAATACATTTTTTGTGTCAGTAATTTGTGGGTATTTTGTTACACAAAATTAAAATTTTAACTATTAAATTTTTAATCGGCTAGCAAAGGACCGTAAGAGAATTTTAGCACTATTTTTCTTCCTAGCTGGCGGCTCTAGCTGCGTGGGAAATTATTGTAGTGCCCTAACTCTTTTTACTTGGAGGCTCAACAAATAATTATGCTGCACCTGTGTTGGGCCAGGCCCACGTTGGTTTAACCTTTTATATATATATATATATATATATATATATATATATATTTATTTATTTATTATTATTATTATTATTTTGTGTTTGGGTTTAGTTAATATTTTGATTTATATATGTCATATGAATGGATGGTTGGTATTTCGCATAACTTGACAAGTGAGGAAAGCTCCAATTTCAGATATTTTTATTTATGCTGCTGTTTTTTTCTTTTGCAAGGAAGTTGAAAAACTAGTTAAGACCGTTTTAGATTCATCAATTTCTAGTCGAATTGGTCATTTTATTGGATTTTTATCGCCTTTTGTATTAATGGGTACCCGACTACAACCAAATAGATCATTGGGCCAACTCATAGGTTTTTCGGGTTGAATCGGCCAGGCCATTTCAGTTTTCATAACATTGAGTGTGACGACTTATTCTTGTTCAAAGATTTTCTTGTAAATTTAACTATAGAATGAAATTTACGCTCAGAACTTGTTTGATATTGATTTTAGATATTTATATGTCATGAGTCCATCAAAAAGGTGTGAACAATAAATAAGTTGTGAATTATATGAAATGTGTGAATGATAAATTGTGGATTGTACGAAATGTATAAATGAAAAATACGTTTGACTAGTTTTTAAAAAAGAAGAAGCTAACCAGAACATGCTTGGCATCTCTCATATCGATTAACTTTGCATTGTTTCGCTTACCTCATTAAATTTCAAAATTCATTTTATTTGCACCGTTGTTACTCAACCGTCCATTTTATTTTTTTTAGGGAAAATTACAGTCGAGGTACAAAACCTTTCGTTTATTAGCAGACTTTGTCCAAATCTTCATTTTGTACCAGCGAAGGTCCCAAACCTTTCATAAATATGCAGCCGAAGTTCAGATGGATGGAACCCGTCCATTTGACCATTAGTTGACCAATAAAATTGAATTTTGACCAATTTTGACTGAATTAGAAAGGGTAAAATAATAGCTTGATAATTACCATATTAAATAAATTGAAAAAAAAATCAAAAAATCAAAAATTAAGAAAAAAAATTAAAAAAAGGGGGTTGTCTTCTTCAACCATCCCACCTCAACCCACCCCACCCCCATCTTTTTCCCTAAACCAGAGCTTAAGGTCTCATATTCATTTCCAACGGTGAAATTAGAAACGAAAAATGAGTCAACTCGGAACTCAGGGAGCTAGGGTCGGAGGACAAGCCAGACAATAAAAGTGATGGTACCCAATATAATAATAAGCCCAATAATAAAGGCGAAGATGCGGCGAAGACAGGTGGAGCGACGGGTGGAGTATGGGTCCTAGTTGTAATTCTGCTGGTTGTAAGGGTTATTCTGGTAACTGTAGTAGCCGGTGGTTGGAGGAGGGGTTGCGTAAGGGTAACCCGTGCTGGACAGAGTTGGATTGGTGTCGACGAGTAACCGTAGGGATAGGAATTATGGGCCGAGGCGGGATAGCCTGTGACAGGTCTATTCGGGTCTTCCATAGTCGTAGATTATAGAAATATTGTCTGGTCTTCCGAGGTGGTGGAGGCTGTGGAATTGATGGGGGCCGACGGATTTGGGCGGAGATGAGCAGCCGGGGTTGGGTAGTCGACGACTTCAGATTATGGTCAGGGTGAGGTGGGGGTGCAGTCAGGGAAGAAGATGAAGCTTGACTATTTTCTTTTTTTAGTTTAATTTAATTGTTAATAATATAGAAAAATAATGTTAATTCTAAATATACCATTTTACCCTCTCTAATTTAGTCAAAATTGGTCAAAATTCAATTTTATTGGTCAACTAACGGTCAAATGGACGGTTTCCATCCATCTGGACTTCGGTTGCATATTTATGAAAGGTTTGGGACTTTCGCTGGCACAAAATGAAGGTTTGGACAAAGTATGCTAATAAACGAAAGGTTTGATACCTCGATTGCAATTTTCCCTTTTTTTTATTAGCTCAAATCGCCACAAAAACATAATGTGATTAAATAAGGTAAATAGTCTATCTTGTGGACACTGGGATAGAAGCAGCAAGGGAAGTAAGGCGTTGGCCATTTTTATTTCTAGTTCAGGGAGAATACTAACACCTAGGGCTGTAAGCAAAAATCGCAAAACTGAAAAATCAAATCGAAACCGCATTTTAGAAATCGTCGGTTTGGTGCCACGTGGACCCGATCAACGAAATGATTTTGACCCAAACAAAACATGTCAAAATGGTTTTGTTTAAATTTGAGAATTTTAATTGCAGTTTAAAATCAAACCGGACTGACCAAAAAAATATAAAAATAAAAAAATGAAAAAATGAATTTTTTTGAGAATTCATCCAAATATGTAAAATTCAATAGTTTTGTCATTTCTGGATATTTTTGTCAATTCCTAATTTTCTAATACAGATATATTATTATTATTATTATCATCATCATCATCATCATCATCCAATAATCCTAATATATATTTAATAATTTCAAGACTAATATAATCCATTAAAAGCCTATTTCCTCTTCAAAATTTAGATAAACTTCAGTCGACATCCAATATAGCTTTGAGCCACCGGCACCACACACTTCTTTTTTAGATTTTTCACGCCTCTTCAAAGTTAAATTGAAATCCATTATACTAAATTGGAGACAAAGAGTTCCTAGACCTTCGATAATAATATTTACTACAAATAAAGTTTCAGATCAATAATTTTTTGGAACAAAATAAGATAAGAATTTGAAATTAAATGAGTTTCGTAACATCATACAAACATAAACTTGTGTAATTCTTTTTGTTTAATTAGTATCATTTCAGATATGATGATCACGAGATCTTGTTGGACATCATTATTTTTTTGGACTTTATATCTAGTTTAGTAGACTTCTAATGTAACGTTATTGTATCGTCATTAGCCTAAAAAATGTGAACAAAAATGAAAAAAAAAACTATGTTTTAATTTATTGTGATTTCACTCTGATTTAGTTGTTATTTAAATTTATAGTAGATATATTTAGCCCCTGTTTGAGCCATATTTTCCATATCATCATAATGAGAAAATTGACTATTGGAGAGGAGGCTAGGTCCCACACATGAAATAACATGTCAACAAAAACGGTTGGACTTGTGGAATAACGGTCCAAATTTTCATTTTTTTGTCCAAAAAATTTGGTTCAAACAGGGGCTTAGTTTGTTTTAGGTTTATTACTAGTGAGATATAAATATATATTAAATTCAATGAATTAATGACATAAAAGTAGACGAGCAAAAAAATATATGACGAAATCGACGGTTTAAAACCGGACCAAACCGTTAGGTTTATGTTTGAATTTTTTTCAAACCGTTCAAAATGATTTGGTTTAGGTTTGAATTTTTCTCAGACCGCTTTAAACGATTTAGTTTGAAAATCTGTTAAAAATCGGTAAAATCGGACTGCTTACACCCCTAGTAACACCTCACCCTCACGGTGGATCCTCGGAATTTTGAGTATGCATCTGCGATCGTTGATTATCGATGACTATAATAAAAATAAAAAATATCTATTACTTTGTTAAAACTAAATATATATTTTTCTATTACATTTGATGTTAACATCCGCCAAATATCATAGTGGATAAGATTTTCATATTTTTCAAGAGGAACACTGTTCAAATGTTTTTTTTATTAGACTAGTTTTAATCACTATGCTTTAAAATGGTGAAAAATATTGACCTAAAATAATTGCATAAAGGATTGCTCAAGACCTACTAAATGGGTACTCTAAACAACTGAGTTAGAAGAACTGTTTGAAAATAAATGAAATTACTGATAAAAAAAATTAATACCGACAAATTCAACTATGTCGGTCGTTGATGCTCACCCATCTCTAATAATGCTTAAATATCAAGAAAAGAAAGGCATTTGAGGCAAAATTGTTCTTCGACATCCTCGGGAGAAAATCAGCCATTCGACTTCCTAGCAAGGGCTCCCATACCATCACCCCCGCATAACACACCTACCCATTCAAATACTTCAAGCACGTGTAATATGACACAGTTAAATCTCGTATCTACCCTTGTTGGTTATATATTTTTCAAAAATTCATATGTCTCATAGTCATTTTTAATAACATTATCCTGATATAATAATTTTGCAAATAGATTGTTACATTTTCATTTTTTTTAAACAATATATCCTCCAATAAAGTACTTCTACAAAGTTTACTATAAAAGAACTCATATCAAATCGACCCTACATGTGCGATAAAAAGTCTTTTGAGTTTTGCTAGGCTTAAAAGTATAAAAACGTCTACTGATACGAATAAATAAGAAAGGAACTATTTGGGGCTTTTTTATAGAATCAAAGAGAAAAGTGGGTTCAACCGTGAGTGAAGAAGGAAAAAATGACGATTGATCATGTTAAGTAACAATAAAAAAATTGATTTTTTGACTTGAGAATCAGAACCAAATGGGGGCTAAGCAAGTTTTTTAACCCCCGTTTGGCCTCATTAAATTCTATTTTATTTTTCTCTCTTATATTTTCAACAACACATTTTTTCGTAAAATAATATTACACATAAATAAAAAAAATTCTTTTTTTCCAACTTCTCATTTTTCAAAAAAACACTATTCCAATTATTTCACTGTAGAATGTCAAGTAGACGGCACAGCAGCCTCTGAGGAAAATGTGAGAAAGACAAAAAAGAGAAATAACAAAGATATTGACTTTGCGGTCACAGGTTCTGGAAAAATTTCTGAAGAAGTGTTGACACAGCATAAGGTTACTGAGTCAAATGCAAATTCAAAGAAGGACAAAAACAAAATTACAGCCAATACTCTTGTTCAAAGCGAACATGAATTATTAGCCTTGAAGAAAGTTACTAATGATGCAGTTCGTGAAATAACAGTGAATGAACCCACTAAGAAACAGAAGGAGAAGAAAAAAAAGAAAAGCAAGCCAACTTTTGAAGTACTTGATGGTAATGAAAAACAATCAGAAGTAATGCCCAAGGTAACTGAAGAGAAAAGAAAAGATTTAAATGAAAGTAAAGATGATTATGTGGCACTTGTTGAATCTAAAGAGAAAAAGGAGGAAAAAAAGCTGAAGAAGGATGGTCTTCTTGAAGATGGTGAGGAGGGCAGCTTGAAAAATAAACGTAAAGTGGATGCTGATAAAGTTGTTAGTAGCATTCTATTAGAAGGGAATAGAGTACAAGATAAAAAGAAGAGGAAAAAGAAAGAAGCTACGGTGGAATTATATGTTTCTGATGCAGGGGTACCTGACAGAAAAAATATAATAACTAACAAATCTAAGAAGAAATCGTTCGAGACTGTGGAAGATGGTGCTAATGAATATAAGATGGCTTCCAAGAAAAGGAAAAGATTGGCTCATGATGAAGATGGAAAACAGGCTGTTGAGGAAGTAGCAGTTGAAGAAACGAAGCGCAGAAAAACTGATGGGCAGGAAGAAGCCAAGGATGTTGAGCTGCAAGGGAATGGTAGTCTCAACAATACTGGAGTGGAGAAATCCAGTGAGCCAAAATCCACAAGAAAACAAAGCAATAATTTTGCCGAGGTATGTCATTTCATTCCTTAATTTTCCTTTTTTCCTTTTTCAATAGTTTCTTCCCTTGTTATTTCTTGATTTACACATTACATACACAAGGAAATTGTATGCAAAAGAGAAATTGGTCAGCTAGGTTAGTCATGTCTATCAGATGCTTGTTTTGTAAGTGAAATGGAGCAAGATCAATTCTTGAAAGCTAAAACATATAGGAAGCAGAGAAATGAAAATAAATTTATTTTATTCAAAGTTGAGAGCTTCATAATAACAGTATATCGCCTTGGTAGTTTCGCAAATCAATTACAACACCACGGTATCTCTGGCTATTAATAGAATCAAGGACTTGCCTTGGCCTCTGGGCCATATTGACGTGCCTTTGATTTATTAACATTTGAATTAGTGGGTTAATCCACTGTTATTTAGCTTGAGCGTAATGCTAGGACCCATGTTGAATGTGATGGTATCTCTCTCATTTTTCAAATGCTTGTGGTAACTCTGCTTTCCTTTCTTTTGTTTCCTTTTTTCCCCATTTTTATGAGGATCCTTTAATTAAGGATATTTATTTTACTTCTTTTTATGGTAGACGTTGCTCTTTATTTATTACTTAAAGCTTCTTTTTTTTTTTTTTTTTTAACAAATGGACTAAAGTAAATTCTGCATGGAAATTGTTGTTGTGATCTTTTGAAGGTAGCGTTGTATCAAGTTGCATAATGGAAATAGTTGTGTAAATTCTTTCCCTTGGAAAGGATGAAAGTTTTGAATATTTGTATATTTCAAAAAAAATTGTGCGGGTATAGTTTGTAGATCATCTGTTGTAGATCTCACTTCAATAAATTTTGTATGGGGCGCTCAACTGTTGAAGTAATATTTAGAGTATATATTCATGCTGCTATTCTAAATCAATTAAACACGAAATCCTGAAATATAAAAAGTGAAGTATGGTCTCTGTAAAAATTAGCAATGTGCTTGCACATTCTGTTCTTCTCTAACAGAAAATACTGGCCCTGAATTGTGTTGTCATGACCTCAAGGGGTGAATGTTGATTCTTTTCTTAAAGATAAGTTTGATGGTTTATTGCAGCCCAAAACGGTGAATGCATTTCAAAGGGTTAAAGTTGATGAGGTGAAGTTTGTTGATGAGAGGCTTCAAGATAATTCATACTGGGCAAAGGTTTATTTTTTCCCTTTATTGATCCTTCTAATTCAATTGCACTTGTATATCTCTCGTCTATTTTTATGGGTACACTATGCTTTTGCAATATTTACATGTTCAAGAATTCGTATATACATATGTATGCAGGAATTTATATATTTTTACCTCCTCAATGGTATTTATGCATTTATGTATTATTTATTTTTTTCTTTTACATGACTTCCTCACAGGATGGAGCAGAAACTGGCTATGGGGCAAAAGCACAAGGAGTTTTGGGCCAGGTCAGAGGAAGGTATGTTATGCTGTGTTTTATGTGGTGAAATACAATTTCAAGCTTACCTTCTATGTTTATGGACAAGCACTGATTATGTAAAGAAGGTGGGTACTGTTATGGAGATGAACTGGGAAAAATAGATAAAAATGCATAGAATAAAAAGCTAACAGAAACTCACTCTAGCTGGTAGCCATGCTTGGAAGTTGATAACATTATGCTGCTGGGGCCCATCCTAGTATGGCTCTGGAAATCATGTTGTAAACAACAGAGATGGGGATAACTCACTAAGCAGTTAGTAGTGCCTTAATAATAACATATCATGGGGGTTTAAATGTTGTACTCTCTCTCTTTTACAGGGACTTCCGACATGAAAAAACTAAGAAGAAGCGAGGTAGCTATAGAGGAGGACAGATTGATCTTCAATCTCACTCGATTAAGTTCAATTATTCCGACGAGGAATGACTGGAGAACGGTTTAGGTTCAATTTTTCCGACGAGGCATGACTGGAGAAAATGACCAGTTTCAGTTACATGAACATCTTTACCCACTGCATGCTTTTTGCTATTATTGTGTTTCAATTCATTCATCGTGGAGGATCAATATGGTCGTCATTGTGTTAGCGTGCCATATTCGAATTTTGAGTTCATTTAAAATGCATATTGTTGTACTCTTTTGTTTAAAAAAATTTTGGGCTGCTGTTTTCTTCCTAATTTTTCTTTCTTTTTCCCCTTTTCACTGACTTTGAACAATGTCGGAATTTTTATCTTCACTTTTAAGATCACTTGTGCTTTAGTATTGTTGGTGGTGCATAACATTACGCTTTTTCTTATCGAGAGATTTGATTTACTAAAAGTAACAAGAAAACTCGCGTTGTATTTATCTCGATTCTTAATTGTGAAACTAGGATGGGATTCAATTGCGCATAGACTTGTAAATTGTAAGATTCATATGCAACCTATGGGTTACACGAAGCTCTTACGGTATAATATTTTCTACTAAACGTGGTGACTTATGTTCTACCTGTTGACACACAAAAGTTAAGCCCAAATCAAATAAGCTCAAGGAATGAAGTCCAATTGGAGGATTTCCAAATCAGATAGCCCAAAGAACGGTTCAATCAGGCAATGCAGGATAAAGGTCCAAATAGGGAAGTCCATGAACGCGATAATACTATCGTCCAAGGTTACAAGTCGCCCAATATTTGAGCGAATGGATTGCTATGCAGTCGTCCAGAACTATAACCCTGTTCTCGCCCAAACCTTCGAGTCGTCCAAGATCTTAGCAAACATAAGATGTTATGGTTACCCAAAGGTGCGGTTAATGAAGCAGTTATTGAGTAGCCTTATCAAGTTCCACGATTTTAGGAATTCAATTGAAGACGGTTGAAAGACAAAAATAATGGCAGTAGTTAGAGAAGGCAGTTCCATGACAAGTTGGCCACTATGAAGAAAGTGGGCGGTTATAGAACGATCAAGCAGTTTTTAAGCGGTTGATCACGAAGAGATCATCCAGAGAGTATAAAAAGAAGAAAAGACAGAGCAAGAGACTCGAATCAAACACTCTCAAACAGGGAATATGTAACTTTCAATTTCTTAGTTTAGATTTAAACACTTCTTTTTAATAACTTGTGTGCTTGCACCCCTTGGAGGCGTTCTATTTTTATTTTCCAATTGTAAAGTCATCGCCAATAAAAACACCCATTTTTTAGACTTTGGCTCAAGAGATTTGTCCATTATACAATTGTCTGATCCCTTTTTAATTGTTAGCGACTAACCCGCGTGAAACAATTTGGCACGCCTGGTGGGACAATGGTGTTTGGTGTTGAAGATACAAAAGGTGAAACAATATGCCTCAGAGTCAGATAAGGAAGCAGCAAGTCAGGGAGGAGTCCAGTCTGTGATCGAGCGATATGAGGAGCAGCATAGCTCTCCACGAACAGATGGACAAAATCAGAGCAGTAACAGTCGTTACGAATCAATGACAGAGTTGAGTTCTCGAACTATGCGTGCACTACTTGGAGAACTCACACAAGATGTCATTGAACAAGTAAATCTTCGAAACATTCATAATATGGAAAGATTTACTCAGAATGGGAATGAACATTATGACAACATGGCCAAACAACCGAACACTTTGAACGAAATAATGAATAAGTTAGTAGACCAAATTTGTCAACCAGTTATGGCTCTTGTAAACCACTTTCAAACTAGGACAATTGTGGGACATAATCCCCTAGTCCTAAATCCACGTCAAGGGGTTGAACCACCTTTCGGTCCCTCTATTTCGAACCAAGGGGATAATGTAATGCCAAATCAGAATAATGGTAGTAGTACGCCTAACTTGGAGGGTAATCCAAATGTAAGAGATAATGTCCTAAATAATGGGCAAAATACCCCACGTGTTAACGAGAGAATAAATGTTCAGGCTAATGGTAACAATGACCCAAATCATGGTAACTTTGTTGCCAATCAAGGACCAAACATCGGGCCTCAAACAAATCAATCGGTTAACCAACCTGTAGGAATTCTATATGACCCCAACGTCATGTTGAGGAATCAAATTATGGAAATCGTATAGGATCAGATGACTTTTGGGGTACGTCCTGTCATTAGGCCGACTTACACAAAGTCATATCCTGATTAGGTAGACCAGGCATATCCATGGCTTAGAGGGTATAAAGTGCCAGAATTCTCACTGTTTATCGGTTTAGGAGAGGTGTCTACTCTAGAACACATAGGGCGATTCATACTGCAAAGTGGAGATGTAACTGATTACCATAAAATGAGGCTTTTCTCTAGTTCATTAACAGGAGTAGCTTTCTCCTGATTTATCAATTTGCCAGCGAACTCTGTTCAAACATGACAACAATTGGAACAATTATTCCACGCTCAGTTTTATAAGACTGAGTCTGAAATTATTTTAGCTGATTTGGCGAATCTACGTCAAATGCCAAACGAATAGGCAAAATGTTTCCTCCAAAGGTTCAAGACAGCAAGAAGTAAATGTTTTGTATCTCTGCTCGAAAAAGAGTTTGTCAAAATCGCTCAAGGTTGTTTGAGCTTTGATTTGAAAAAGAAATTTCAAGACAAGGAATTTCCTGACTTTTTCCAATTGAGCGCGAACGTGAATAGGTATGAACGATTGATAAGAGAAGAAGAGCAGATAAAAAATTCTAGTAAGGGGACTTATTATAGAGACCCAAATTTTGATATTCATACCATCAATAATGAGTCATACGATCAGACCAAAATGTGTTTGGTCTAATTAGTCAAAGGAGATACGTATACTTGTCCTATAATGGCTAAGCCTAGACCATCGGGCAAAGATGAGCCTATGAAAGATTAAAACATAAAAGCTAGAACGTTCTCGTTCGATGTAACCAAAGCTGACCTTATATTTGATAAATTATATAAGGATAAGCAGATAAAATTGAGCGATAAGCATAAATTGTCAAACCCTGAACAAATTAAGGGTAAAAAATATTGTAAGTGACATAATGCATGGTCACATTTGACTAATAATTGCTTGGTTTTTGGTCATGTGTTACAGGATGCCATTGAATCAGGACGAATTACGTTCGATGATAAGAAGAAGATGGCAATGGATGAAAATCATTTTCCACATCCACTTGGAGTGAATATGGTGATGTCTGGTTTCAAAAACAAGTTGCTAAAATTCAAGTTGGTTATAGATGATGGAGAAGAAGACCCTGGACTACATCCCAGTGTCTTTGAGCGTATTAAAGGGAATGAGCCAAAAAAGAATGAAGACGTCTTGTGTGCAAGATGTAAAAGAGAAGTGAGTGAGAATATGCAGAAACCAGGGATATAACAGTATCTCCATCGCCCTACTTTCTTCCCAAACGCTCAGCCTGGTAGAGGGCGAGCTACATCGTTCTATAAGGGACCGCCTTTTGAGAGGCAGTTCAGGCCAGTAAATAATGGGAGAACATTCAGGCCGCAACCTCGCCAACCAAATGTATGACATTCGTTCCAGTATAATGCAGGAAAGGCCATATCCTTCAACGAGATGATTAGAACCCAACAAAGGCGTTTCCAACGAAATTATGGACGAATGATGAGGCAATAACAAGGAGTGCCACGTCCTAAGGCGCCTAAACTACTCGAGGTAGCCAATCAAAATGTTCTCAAAGACAGTGAAGAGACTGGTACAGATGAATCAATGAAGGAGTTGCCAGAATCCTCTTCTGGGAAATCGGAGTTTGAGCGAGACAGAAGGGATGGAGAAGATCCAGATCAGCCCCTTACTATTCAGTTCGGTACGTTACCTCCTGTCGTGGCTAATAACTATTTACTAGCCAATGAGTTCAAGAATAAAGAGAAGGAAGAAGAAGAAAGAGAAGATAACGAAGGAGAAGCATGCGTGCTGGAATATGAAGAATGTCAGACTTCTAGAGAGGCCTACAATGGTGAGGAAGATGATGGTATGATAGACATTGAAGAGGAAATCGATCTGGAAGCAGAAAGAAGAAGAAGAAGAGGAGTATCGTACAATACTCTGTTGAAGCAACTACATCGAGAGGGAATTCGTGAAGTAGACTTATTGGGAGAACCATCTGGGCGTTCTTTCTATTTTTACGTGCTGTATGGGACGCCCAAAAGGAAGAAGAAAGTGCCTCGCTCTGAAAAGTATGGATCACCTCCAAGAATAATGCCTCCTCCCACAGATTGGGTAACAGAAGATGAAGCATTAGAAAACAGTAAAAATGAAATTCAAGAGACAGAGGCTCAGTGCGATATGATGCACGTTGACTTATCACAAAAGGATAACTCAACAGAGGACAAGCAGGAAGTAGAAATAGAGGCTACTGAAAAGGTTATTTTTAAGCGGCCAGCCATGAAATTGACTAAATACTTGAGGCCGTTGTACGTTAAAGCTCTAGTTAACGACATACCGGTGGTAAAATTGCTTGTCGATAATGGAGCAGCTATAAACACCATTCCATCTAGGATGATGAGGAAATTTGCAAAGACAGAAGAGGATATGATTCCAACAGAAGTCATCCTTACAAGTTTCAATGGAGGAGCAACTGCAGCTAAAGGAGTTATGCCATTGGACATAATTATAGGGACAAATACTAGGACCACAACCTTCTTTGTAATAGATGGTCCTACTAGTTACAATGTGTTATTGGGAAGAGATTGGATACACGGAAGTCGCTGTATACCCTCATCGCTTCATCAATGCTTGGTTTTTTGGAATAACAAAGGTGAAGTATAGGTGGTGCAGGCCGATCATAGGCCTTTTGTCACAGAAGCAAACTTAGTGGAAAGGTTTATGTACGAAGGAAACTATGGACCTTGAAATGTTCAGTCAGATGAGGCCAAATATAGTGGCCCTAGAAGAGCTAGTAATTGGCAAAAAAATAATCAAGGAGTCTTGAATGAATTCTAAACAACAAAAGCAAATGGCCGATATTCAAGCCTTCAAAGCCAAATTAATGGCTTTCAATAAAGAATGCAAGGACAAGACGAAAGAAGAGGCAACCCTGAAAACGTTGAAAGACAAATTAGCAGTATTCGAACTGGAACAAAGTATTGGCCGAGAAGTCAACAAGGTGGATTGTTTAGAAGAAAAAGTGCTTACAAGGGAGCTGGACGATGAAGTAATGCAGATCATCAAGTCTGGATACGCTCAAGTACAAGACCCTCTGATTAAAGTAAATATTGGCAATGAAGGAGAAGATCGTCCAACATTCATCAGTCAGATGCTCGATCAAGAGGTTAGTGATAAATTAATCGCTTTGTTAAAGGAGTATAAAGATTGTTTTACTT